GGTAATGAATTAGGCATGTTAGGATTTGTACCTGGGGCACAGAGGAGGCGAGTCTGTCCGCTCCAAGGCGCTGATGATGGGGAGGGGGCTGTGCCGGGTGTAGGGAGGGGACCGGGGCAGGGCGGCGGGGGAGCGGTGGGGTTGGTGCCCTGGGGACCGGTAGGGGGGCTCACCGGGCTGGCCCTGCAAGACCATGCTGCCGTCGGCAGTCCTGGGGGCCCGTGGCAGCGATGTGACTGAGCCGCGCAGCCCGGCCGCCCTGCCCGCGTAGGCCGTGGCCCCACCCACCAGGCTGTCCCTGGAGCCGTACGCGGGCGGCGTGAGGCCACGAGAGCCCAGGCCCTCGTGGTAGCAGCCAGCCGGTGGTAAACTACGACCCCCAGGGCTGTCCCGTGCGTCGGCATCCACGGGGTAGCCGGCTGGCGTCTGGGATCGCCCGCGCGGCTGCAGTAGCTTCTCCCGCTCTTCCAGCTCCTTGCGCTCCTGGATGGAGGCCATGATGGTCTTGGAGAGGTTGTCGTAGCGCACCGGTGACGGGTCCCTGGGTGGCGGCGAGTGGCGGGCGGCGGCAGGGCTGTAGGCGGGCGGTGGGGCTCTGGCGGGCAGGTAGGGCGAGCGGGTGGCCCGGCTCAGGCACTCGCCGGCGGACAGGGCCACGCCGGGCCCCAGCAGGCTGTCGTAGGACAGGCTGCCATTGCGATTAGACAGAGTGTTGGAGGAGAAGACGGGCCGGCAGGGGGCGTCGGCCATGCTGGCCACCATCTCGGGCTCCAGGCCACAGAGGCGTGCTTCGTCCCTGCGCTGGTACGCCTGCTTCAGACTCAGCGAGTCCAGCTGCAGCGGGGAGGACCGGAAGCTGCGGTGCAGCGAGGGGTTTGAGCACTCGGGCAGCTCCAGGTTGGGCTCAGAGCGGTAATCGGGTGCACGGCTGCTCTCCTCCGCGATGGATCCGGGGCCACGCTCATCCTGCATGGAGATCTGCAGAGGAGAAGTACACAGCCATCTCAACAGATCTGTGTACATATTCAGGAGGGCTGGGTACTGCCCGATAGCCCACGACACAATATGCATCACGATATTAGTGTCATGATTCAATGCATCACAGTGTTACCACTGCATCCTGATGGTTGTTTTACTCTTCATCTACCGGTTGCATAAATTATGCATTTCTTAATACAGTGATCCCCCGCTATATCAAGGTTCAGCTATCGCGCCCCCGCTATATCTCAGATTTTTCCCTGATGCATCGCAGTTCTCTGCGTATCGCATACCTTGCTTGTGGTCCGATTGTTGTGAAGAAACTTTTTGTGAACTCATATTGAACTTAAAAAGTTTTTATTTTTACATATTCCATTACATATACAGAGAGAGAGAGAGAGAGAGAGAGAGAGAGAGAGATACACATATACATTACATATTACCATTATTATTATTATTATTAATAATAATAATAATAATAATAATATGTTACTCATATCCTTAGCCCGACATACATATATCATATGTGTTTACAACGTGTGTTTTAATAAGTTTACACGTGTTTAAAGCGTGCGGGAGGGGTATTCAAAGGCTTAAACTACAAATAAACGTTTATTTATATGGTCTGTCTATATCGCGGATTTCCACCTATGGCTGATGGGTCTGGAACGTAACTTCCGCGATAGGCGGGGATCACTGTGTATCAAAAATATATATCAAAATAAATCAGAAATATAGTGCACATTTCTGTTTTTAGAACATCAAATGAGAGGAAAAAAACATAGAATGAAACATTTGACTTGCAGAGGTACATTTGACCTTTTTTTGCATTACACTGCACTTAGCATGGCTATACAGTGAGAGCATTTTTTAAATCAGCAAATGTAAAAGCATTACATTTGACTCTGCTGGTGTTAAACAGTACTGCAACAAATAAATAAATTGAATAAGAAGTCCAAAATATTGATGAAAAACTGTGACAAACTGAATCGCGATATATCAATAAACTGCAGTATTGATACAGCTCTGAAATTTACGATATAGATTTAAGTGTCTGCTAACATTCTGCCAGCCTATCAAGAAGATACCACAGCAACGACATACAGTATAAAAGGCAAACATACTCAGTCACATACTCGGCCAAACACTGACCTTCTCACCACCCGTGTGATAGTGCACCTTGGGGATTGTGCCGAAGGAGGGCCGGTACTTGTACATGGCTGGAGTGGACGGGTGGAGGGGCTTGCTGGAGAGGGAGCCGTCTGTAGTGGGAGACAGAGATGGAAGGATCACATGATACCCAGGGCGATGACATCACAGAGGGCCACCTTCAAATCCCACATTTAGACATTTGCACTACATGTACTGCTTTGGCTCCTTGTTTGATTGGCATTATATGCATGTTCCTCTGTGCATCATGTTCTTGCTGCTGTACACACCAGAAAATCCCCTTGAGATCAATATAGTTAATCTTAATTAAAACAGGAAGTGACATTTATTGTGATATTTGCAATCTGATGATGAGTAATCAAAGGACTTTAGCATGAATATATAGGCATTGTTTTATTTCAAATCTGGCTTTCTCAGCCTATATTATTAAAATTAATATTAGGTCAAATTCCACCAAATTATAAATATTAAACCAGACCTCCTGTTAGCAAACTAACTACTGATGATTCACTGCTGACAAGGTACGTTGAAAGTGACCCTGTAACAAATGGATGCACATGTATGACCCGTGTCCTATAACAGAGGAACAAATAGCCTTGGAAGTCAGCAAGTACTGCAGGAGAAAGGGCAAAAGAGAGAGAGAGAGAGAGAGAGAGAGAGAGATCAGCCTGACGTTTATCATCGCGGAATACGACCACCAGGGGGCACTGGAAGCCCAAAATAGAAACTGCAGCTGGACAGCCTCAGCAGGCAGATTCTGTCAGCGATTGAAAGGATTGGGAAATCGGACTGGAGCAGAGTCCAAAAAGCCCTCAATGGGGGGCACAGGAGTAATTTTACTCTGTTCATTTATCAGAGGGTCTACATCAGGGGTGGCCAATCTCATCCGCAAAGGGCTGCTGTTTGTGCGGGTTTTCGCTGCAGCTCCCTAATTATATTACCAATTTATATTACTAATTAGAGGACTGACTGGCTCCTCTAAAATCTGCACACACACCGGCCCTTTGCGGATAAGACTGGCCACCGCTGGTCTACATGGTGTTACAGCCAAATATAATTCATGTGTACCGGACTGGTGAGCTCACCACTCATACAGGTATTCCAGCGCCTGGCCAGGTTAGACTCCCAATGGAAGCTAAATTGAAAGGGCCGACAGATTCCACAGGTACCTGTAGCTAAGCGCCTTTTATACTCCTGCTGGGGGGGTGAATTATAGCAGAGTATGGATCCACCCTAAATGGACCAGGCTTGAGGAAAGCTATCCTGAGCCAAGGTGTATTACATATAATGCATAGGGCTTCCTCGTGTTACCAGCCTTTATAGTGAGTGGAGGGCTCAATGGGGGCAGTGGGGGTCCTGACCTTCACTGGAGGTCAGATGGCTCTTCAGCTCCCGGTATTTGTCGGCTTTAGGGGGCAGAGGCGGGCCCGTCTCCAGCGGCTTGTCGTTCAGCATATCCAGGCTGCCCTTGGACTGAAACACACAGGGAACAAACGAAATCATGGCTGGGCCTTAACTGCGTCAAACGCTGGGGTTACAGGAACGAGGCTGCGGTCTGTCACTGATAGACCCTGCTCAGATCATCTTCACTGCTCCGTGTTTATGAAACATAGTCATCTGTAGGCACAGAGTTATAGCACTCACTGTCATGCAGAGAGAGAGAGAGAGAGAGAGCACAAAAGAGAGCGAGCGCAGGAAGAGAGAGAGAGAGAGTGCAAAGGCACAGAGTTATCATAACAGTCACTGCCATGCAGAGATAGAGCGCAGGCAGAGAAAGAGATAGCGCAGTTAGCGAGAGAGAGAGAGAGAGATAGCACAGTCAGAGAGAGAGAGAGAGAGATAGCACAGTCAGAGAGAGATAGCACATTCAGAGAGAGAGAGAGATAGCACAGGCAGAGAGAGAGAGAGATAGCACAGGCAGAGAGAGAGAGAGAGAGAGACATTGTGCAGTCAGAGAGAGAGAAGGCAGAAACAGAAAGAAAAGAGAGAGCACATGCAGACAGGAAGAGAGAGGGAGTGCAGGCACAGCACCCTGACCTTGGAGCGCAGGATACTGCTGTGGATGCCGTTGTCGTTTATCTTGACAGTGACATGCCGGTCGGAGAGGATGGGCCGAAGGAAGGGTGGCTGGATGGAGACCAGTGCCTTCTTACTGGGGTCCACTATGTACCTGTTACGGGGTGGAAAGGGGGATTGAGGTACTGATTTAGTTTGCTGCTGCCTGTTGGAGAAACAATCAGCTCTGATTTCAGGGGCCTGGGGGAGAATCGCACACCCACACAAGCGGCCTTAAAATTGCCATAAGCATGAAAGCTGCCAGACAGACAGCAACAGGTGTGCTGTGGAGCAGAGAGCTCCAGGGTGGTCAGTCCTCACAGCGAGACGGGACGGGGTCAGTCTGCACCGCACCGCAGAGAAGGAATGGGGTCAGTCTGCACCACACATCGTGGAGGGACAGGGTCAGTCCGCCCCACAGAGGTCTGCCTCAGCCCCCACCCTTACAATCCTGTGGTGCCTGTTCTGTTCTGATTTTAAGGCTCCTTTTCAATATTTTTGTTCCAGTACAGTTAAAATGGGGTGGGGGGGGTGTGCCGTCCTTACCTGGGAGCCAGCGGGCTGCACAGGACGTACTCCACATTGCCACAGCACCCGCGGGTGAAAGGGTTTACTCCTCCACGGAACTTTCCGGTCACCTGGGAAAAGGCGTGTGGCAGAAACCGTGTTACACAGAACACAGCCAGGACTTTGGGTGAACATAAACCAGAATTGCCCGTAGGGGGCAGGCAAGAGGAGCAAACTGAAGATTTCTGTGCAAAGGGGGCCGGGCTCACCTGCTCGTTGGTAGTGCGGCCCCTGGCCACCAGGACCATGTGGAAACCTGTGAGCCCCATGACCGGGATGAAGAAGAGACCAGCTACACACATCACCACCAGACTGAGGCAGCAGCGTCAAGGAGCTGGAACTGGTAAGTGCCAGACTCACACCGACCTCTACTGCCACCATGAGGCCAAGTGCAGGTACAACAGGGACACTCAAAGCCAACACACATGTGGGTCAACACTGCCAAAGGTTACCACCATGCAAACTCTACTGGTTATATCGGTTCCAGAACAGCAGGCAGCATGGAGGGTATTGACAGAGGCTAAATGAAAGGTTACGGGTAAGTCAGGGGCCTGATGAAGACCGATAAGGAGAATCATTACTTAGTAAATTAACACTCGGTTTTCAATTGACGGAATTAAAGCAAATGTATGTAATAAACTTAAGAGCTCATTTTTACAGCTCTGTGTGGCACAAGCAAGTAAGACTCAGGGATTTAAGTTGCTATTAATGCTATTAATAGGTGCTGAGAGCTCAGACAGTGGTATTTTTAACAGGCCTAATTAATGAGGAGTTCGGCCTGCGGTGGGGGGTGCAGTTTCTGGAGGATACGTGACAGTGGTGTGGAGGGCACCTAGGCGGTCCATGTGGTAAAGCACGAAGAGCAGGCCGAAGGAGAAGACGCCCACCATGTGCACGCTGAGCGACAGCAGGAACAGGAAGAAGTAGCGGTAGTTCCGCCTCCCGATGCAGTTGTTTACCCAGGGGCAGTGATGGTCGAAGTCCTGCAGGGGGCAGTAGAGAGGCAGGGCAGTCAGTTCAGGATCTCCAGTTCATTCATAAATACAACACACTGCATTACACTTAGAGGAGCGAAACGGCTGATTCCATAAAATGCACTGAATGTGTGCTTAAGTCACCTTAAGCCCTTAAGAGAATTAACACTGAGAAAATTTACATAAATATGAAACAGACCATCTGCAATTGCAGACAATCACAGAGGCATGTTTGGCAGATCAGAGTGAGTTAAACCTGGACTCCACACAGGGCCAGTACAAACCACATCAGAAACGACACCATTGTGTTCAGCGTTCATTTGCATAAGCAGTGGAGAGGATGAGGTGAGCACGATTCCAGCGTGGGATGCTTCTTGTGCACAAGCATTGTCAGCCTCCAGTCTTTGTGCGTGCGCACTGAGCACTGGGCGTTGCCGTTTCGGAAGCCCCTTACAGGCCAGAGGGGGAGGCTGATTTGTCACTGAACACATTTCCCAAAGAGCCTATCGCCCTCCATGGAGCACAGGATGCTGGAGACCGAGTTGTACTAGAGGCAGACTGGCTTTCACTGCAAAAAGCACAGGCAGAACACAAAGTGCCGAGTATGTAAAGAGCTATGCAAAAATCAGCCCAGACGCTTAGAGGAAAGCGTCGAGGGGCTTGATGTAGCCTGACAGCACATGAGGAGGGGGGGGGGCTGCCAGTTTCCAGAAAAAAGATCGAGTAAAAAGGATGAGTTTGTGGGCATCAGCGCAGTTTGCGAACTTACAGGGCCAAATTCTGCTAGCCGTAGGGGACACTGACAAGTGCATGTGTAACTGGTAAGTGTGTGTAAGGCATGTGTGTGAAA